TCAGTGTGGAATGATGTGCCGTTTCTTGCGCAATCTATTTTCGAAAAATGAGTTGGAAATCGGCCTATTGGTCAAGCAACGAATATGACCCCAATGTTGGCTGGAGACCGAATTAGACGATCAGAGTTATATTTCTGGAAATTTACTCACCATGTCGGGGACATGGCATTTTGTGACAAGACGTAAAGCACGATAATACACTCGCATTCCTTGTTGTGATAGATTTCGCACTCTGACATTAGTCAGAGCTCTTGGAGGTATCTTTAACGTGTTTATATGTTGTTTTAATATTATAAAGCGTGTCATCCAACACTTCTAGTCATGTTTCCTACAAAAGATAGCGCTTTGGATCGTCCTTTAATTGAAACCATTTGCGTCATTCTTTCTTGTAAGGAAGCCGAGTTATGAGCTTAATAATACCTTGTCATTTGATATCAAGGTGTAACATGCAGCTTTAAAAATGCGTTGAATTCCACTTGCTGTAAATTATTTGCCTAAATTTTGACAGGCTGCAGGAAGTCGGTTGTGAAAATTAATTATAAGTCGACGTTTCAAGCTAGGCTGGGTCAAATTAGCACGGTACCACAAACGGGTCAATTCTAGACATTCACGCGCGAAAATGAGCGTAGCCAAAATTGGAAAAATTGCCACCCTACGGGGGGAAATTTCAGTTTTCATTTTCTCCTCTATACTGTTGAAAGCTTTAAATGTTTTAAAACCAACCATCTGATTACAGAAACACGTATTCCAAACATTTCATCTGAAGCGTTTAACATCTAAAAAGTGTATGGGATTCGGACGTATGCTTCTTTTTAGTCGCACATTTCAGGAAAATGAAATCTGAAAGGATTATCTCCTTGCCTTCAGTTCGACATTATTAAGTGGTCCGATTTAACCTTTTGCTGTTTCTTACCTAGCATAGATATTGCTCGCACCTATTAGGTACGATGAACCAAGTGGTTATCTTGTTTCAAAATCGAGTAAGCCAACAATCAACATTGCAAGGAACTATACCAAAAAAGGCAAGCAACTTTAAAATTTGCTTTGCTTGCTACTTGTCGACACGCACTTAACGCATATTTGGAGGCCCTGTTCAGCACTGTTCGCCAATTGCCGTTTCTTTCTCAACGTATTGATCCATAGGCTGAAAAAGTTGAACGTTGATGAAAGCTGGATAGTAAAGTTAGAGTTGTGTAAAAGTTTATCAGAAATGGTACAGTTATGACTTCAACTGGAAACAAAACCATCACACCTGTATGTACATTAAGATAGGTTACAGGTCGTTGTCGTCGTCACTGCTGCTTTACCATTCACTTAGCTGCTGAGGCTATATGGCGTCACGTGCCTCTGACCCTGGCAGGAAGGGCGGGCACCGCAGGGACTCGAACCCTGTACCTCTGGTTTCCCCAGAAGCACAGGAGTTCACCAGATGCGTGTACAAATGCACTTTCGGCACCCACAGATAGCTCGTAGGGAATAAAGAACTTGCGCCGACCTTTACAGCCATAGACGAAATTTTGCATTAGCTCCAAAATTCAGCAAACCATCACAGAAATTTAGGTTTCCAAAAGCAAAGCCAATGTTAGGTATATGGGACTACCACCGATCAATTGATTTTTATCAGCGCATCTCGGCAATATTGCAGTCGTTGGCTCTGCCGTAAAACACAACCCAACACACGAATCTTGTAGCGTGCTTTAAATAGCTCCGTAACTTTTCTTTACAAAATTGGAAAGTGTTATCATACTTTTTGCCTTTGCTTGACGTGCTCTCTATGAGAGGACACCATTATTTAACTTCCAATCTCCGGAAGTTGTATTCCCAATTTATTTGCAATCAAAGGAAAACAACAGATACCGAATCAAATTGAAGCACTACGAGCTGAGATGTAATGGTAGTATGCCGAGATGTAGTGGTACGAATATGAACGCATGATGTGTTTATCTTCTCAAACGTTCGATGCTCAACTGCATTATGAACACCTCAGATATGTTCATCCTCTCGCACGATTGCTAAATATCACCTTGAATATTTAAGCTAGCAAAATTAATCAATTTTTAAAGAGCCAATGACCGCTTTTGCGCAAAATTTGTTGCGAATCGGTCTCCAATTTACAAAAGAGTCGAATGTGAGGTCTTTGTGCTCCGATTCGACAGGAGCTGACCGGGTAGCAACAAAACTTTAACCTCAGAAAGATTCCTAGTGCATGCTGCCCGCATGCATGCCGCTCACGCATGTCATGCCGTTCATAGCGTTTGGCCATCGCACGGGAACCGACGCGACCGTTCCAGGCGCGGCGGCCTGCGCAGCTCCTCCGCCTGGCGCAATGAAAGGATGGGGAGGGCAGTCATAACCAAGGTGGTTATCACCCACCCCATTTGGTCTGGCAAGAGGAGTGAAATGCTTTGAAATGCCGCCGGACTAAATTCTACCAGGGCTGAGCCTCAAACCTTGCCATGGGTCACCACCAATAATTACAATCGGCCAGGATGGTTCCTTAACAGAAGATCGTCTGCCGCTCGGCTGTAGTTGTAGCACCCAGCGCTGGTTAACGTGAAAGCGTATTATCGCTAGTGACACTATCAGCGCGCATTATTCTACTCTTCTGCGATAGACAGCTGCTGGTACTTCGGTTGTTTCCATGCATTCCTGGCACGGGAGATTTTACACGATTAACGCTTCTTCGGACAGCCGGTTTGTTCAGGGTCTTGAACTTCATGTGTGAAATGTGTTCTGCTAGCAATACGGCCTCGGGTACTGGAGGGACTTCGCTGAAAATATGCTCTCGGCAAGTGAGCCTAATACGAGAGGATCATTGCCGACGTCATCGGCGGACCATGCGCGTGTTCCCGTTGTTCTCGAATCTTGTATGGTTTTTCATCGAATCAATAGAATGGCCCGTAATCCTCGCCCTGATTCATCGTTTTCCTAACGCGGACTGATGGGCGAGGTATGCGAACTCCCTCGCATTTGCAATCAGAGTTGGCAGAAAACACCATTGGTTTGGTCTTAATGGCATCTCGCGACTGGTACCAGTTGTTAAGCTGTTGGTTTAACAATTGAGCCCATTATGGCCGGTCCAAGGTCATACTTTCCAGAAAATTACACGTTTTCAGCTTTGCAGCATTATACATACAATGAAGTTCTTTGCAGCGCCACAAAATTTAAACAGACGTGTTTCTTGTTCCCTTTTCAGCACAGGAGTGTATTTTTGTGTGTTAAGCATACAGTTATGGCATATTGCTACGTCAATGTGGCAATGTCGGTCCGCCGCGCGCTTTCCACGGCATCGTTGGTCGCTGCCCGTCGCACGTGTCAGTGGTATATCGCCGTGCAGCTTTTCCCCAAAACCGCCACTGCTCCGAAACCAGAAAGCTAGGAACACGATTTCGGTGGTAAAACATACAAATGGATGCCTCACAGGTTACTGAAAACTTGGACGCGATCGCGAAACATACCGGAGAGGCATCCTCAAAGACCTTAGGGGGTTTTATGATTCCCCTCCCCGCCCTCCTACCAGGGCGAGGCTTAAGGCATGTGGGAGAAAACATCTGACCTATAAGAGGCTCAAGATAGTCAACATCACGCCCTATTGGTCGACAGGAGGTCCAAAATGATCCACCCTTCCCCCCCATTACAAACACAGGAGCCCCCGCAAACCCAAGAGAAGGCACCCATTAGAAAGACCGGAGCACCCAACATGCCGGGCGAGGATTTAATTATGTATATCTAAAAGTTTCGCAAACTCAACCTATTTTGTTCGACGCATGTTAAGTTCAGTTCGCATCTGCCCAAAACGCACCAGTCGACGCATTGTTTACATTTGTGAGCTGATGCGTGACCACCCTCTGTTAACAGTCAGCGTTTCAATGCAACCATCAGACACCCTCCATCCATTAAACCTATGAATTCCCAGCAGCTCCCCAGCTCGTGCGCTACACCGCTAGTTAGCCTACTCCTCACTGCCAACCTTAGCCGGTGGCAGGGTTAATTGTCTCCGATACGCCGCCCGGCCGGTTCGCTTTGATTGGTTTATGGCCGCCGATACGCCGTCCTGCGTCCCGTCCCCAGTTGGTCTGACAGCTGTCCCACACACGACGGCACTAGCGTCCAGCACCACACTCATGCTCATTCATCCAGGTCAGCGACGGTGTGTTCACCGGGTCATATGATTTGTAGGTGTTCCAGGGCCGCCCACAACTTACGTTGCGCATTTACGGCCGTTTTCAGCCATTCCTCCCCCCACTGTCACGCACTGTGATCTTTGGCAACCTCTTCCCTTCTGAGCCCATTTCAGGGCTTCAGCCGCACCCCACTTTCCTTTATTTAAGTGGCTGGTCTGAGGCGTTCGTGCCAAGCGCACCTGATCCAACCGTGTCTCTCGACGGACCCCATTGCCTGTCAATGCGATAGCAGCCTCGTTTCTGGTGTACACAGCTCTCACTCTGCGTCTCATGCAGCGCATGGTCATCACGGCTCTACCTGATCCGCAAATGGACCTGCAGTTTAACACTAAGCATTCGTGTACCGGGCGACGAGGGCTATTTTGGTCTAAGGCAAACCACTACAGCCCGAGAACCATATTCCATCATCCGCACTATCTGCAAAACGATACACCCCAAGGTCTGTAGTCCAGGATATATCAACATCCCACTCATCCAGTAGAAAATGCTGCTTTGTAAATTACATACAGGTGCTACTCTGGGCGCGTTTCCCTGCCCCTTGCCCACGCTCCCCACTGACCAACGATAGGCCGACTGTGTCCTTGAAGCAACTCGCAATCAAATGAGAATTGGGGTGCCAAAATGGTGAAGGGTTTCCACTCCCATAGAATGAAAAGACATTCACGAGGTTCACCTCTAAAATAGCCTCATTTCTGCTGTTGAGCCCTGGGTTACCGGACTGCGTTATTTAGTATCTATGCGTGCTAAACTCCGCCAGTTTTTGCACAAATCGGTACTAAACACGGTTCCCCTCTTTGTAAGAATCCGTACTAACTAGGCTCGAGGACGTCTTCGCAGTACATACTCCTTGTAGACAGTGTGCTCTTCCGTCCATTGGCGGAGCGGGTACGAAATTAGCGTGTTACTACTACTCTCTGGTAGCCTTGGTGTTCATGCAGCCCATTGCCATCAAAATCCGCTAGGTCCTGTTCGTGCATCACCAACCAGGCACCTACCTACCTTTCTGGTGGTTTATAATGTGTCGTGCCTCCGGCGTCATTTGTGTTTCCTCCAAACATAACTTTGTTCTTGTCCTTCATTGGTGTAACCCAGGATGTTTGTGCTGCGGGAATAATGCTGCAGACCTGACGTCTAGGCATATGATGTGTAGACTTTCTTATGCACGTTTGTTCCCGTCTTCCCCAGAACAGTATGCCTGATCAGCTGCGATTCGATGGACAGGTGGCAGTAGTCACAGGGGCAGGAGGAGGTGAGCAGCTTCAATTAAGTGCTGATCATAGTGCAGGGCTGCCTATCTGAGGTGTGCAACCTACATGGCTGCACACCTCAAAATGTTGGAATGAGGTGCCTGCTGCATGTGAGGGCTAATGACCATGCATGTCATGTTTTCAATGTTTTTGTGAGAAATTCTTCAGCATGTGTAATAAATCATATCTCCTTTTCTTGTGCTGTCATTGCATTGCCAAGCCGTCCCATGGTCTGAGGGCTTATGGCTTGTCTCACCCTTGCATCTTGTCATTTGCTTTTCTCATGCTTCCATTTTGTTGTGACATCAGGAATCAGTTACCTGTTGATGCTACTGACGTAGCTTATCTATGTGGTGTTAACTAATGGCATCAACATAACTACAAGGTGTTTTACCTTAATGTCAAGTGTTGATTAATAGCGTACTCTGTAGCATAACCACAGGTTGTGTCATGTTGATTGTCAATTTTCAAAGCACAAGCAAGTATATTAAAAATGGTGTAAGCACATTCTATCCTGTAATTAATATTGAAAATTATGGAGCATAAGTATAGGTGTCTTTCATACAATGACTGCATTCTGGTAGTTGAGATGCAGACCTTCCTTCCCTATGCTCGGCATCTGAATATGCTTTTTGCATGTGTCAGCTGCTGATCAGCAGGATTGGGTTATTCTGTAACTAGGGGAATTATGTTCATGTTCAGGGACAGTTGTAGAGGTATGTTGCTTGTCAGATGAACTCTGACTTATATTGAATATTGGTGTAAATTAGAATATATAATATATATATATATATATATAATATTGGAATATTGGTTATACTGAATATTGGTAATGCAAAGAAGCATATTATTGAATGTCTTTATTGATATAACAACCTTCTTAAAGTTTTTGTTTCAAATGAAGCACCATGCATATAGTAAAGCTAACCCATGGTAGCATTTTTAATGGTTTGGAGAATTTGGGTTAGTTGAATGACTTTTCTTAGCAGCATGCTATAACATTGAGAACTTGAGGCATGATAGACAGTTGGTTGGGTTCAGCAGGACTTTTTCCTCTTTTTACTAATCATGTGCATGTCCTTCCCTTTTTTGTCTAATGGCAGTCATGCTCTTCCACTGAACTGTATGAATCACATCACCACATCAGGCAGGTGACAGGCATGTTTTTCACAGTCATGCATGCTTGCATGCTCACCCTTGTGACAGGTCAGCATAGTTTGCAGTGACAGCAAGCTGGAAGTTGGACTGAACATTGAGCTTATTCCTAGCCCGTCAACAGTTTTTTTTTTTTTGCTGTCAGCTGCCGATTGCTGGGTAGTAATGAGCTGGCAGTGAGTGCCGTGTGTGAGCCTAAACATGTTATGGTTATGTTCCATGTGCTTCAGGTCTTGGCCGCGAGTATGCCCTGCTGCTGGGAGAGCGCGGCGCCGCCGTCGTGGTCAATGACCTGGGCTCCAGCCGCGACGGTCAGGGCCAGAGCTCCAAGACGGCCGACAGCGTGGTGCAGGAGATCCGCGACAAGGGTGAGCGTCGGTCACGTCCATCTCCGGACAGCGGGCAGGCACGCCGGCTGGAGTTTGCCGCCTGGGGATGTGCTGGCCATGATGAGTGTGTGTGGGCAGGTGGGGAGCACAGGGAATATTCATAGATTATTTGCTGGTGTAAGTCTCATTACTGCTAGAAATAGGAAGAACTGTGTATGCATTAAAATATGTGTGCGGTGCTTTCCGTGTGTGCAGCTCGGTAAGGACGCCGGTGGAAGGGTTCGATGGGGCAAATTGCCGTGCATGGTCTGTTGGTACTGCTGTCATGTGGAGGAAAGTTCAAAAAGCTTAGCTGGGACTTCCTGTTCTTTGGATCAGTGTGATCGGTTTTGTCAACAGGAGGCAAGGCGGCGGCCAATTATGATTCGGTTGAAGAAGGCCACAAGATCATAGAGACGGCCATCAATGAGTTCGGTAGGATTGACATCCTCATTAACAATGCTGGTTTTCTACGCGACAGGAGCTTCATGAAGATGGAGGATATCGACTGGGGTGAGGTGCTTCATGCGCTAGCTGCGAACGTTTATGATAAATTGTTCTCTTGTGCTTAAGGCTTACCAAACATTGTATTTCATTGCCCTTCCTCGCCGATCCAGCGTATGTGACAGGAGCAGGTATTTGTCATATTCTTTTTCGCTTATGCCACCATGTGTACCTTAACAGGGTACCACGGGGCACAGCGATTTGAGGATCGTTTGTGTACAAATTAGAAGAAAAAATGTGAAATGGCCAGTGCTGATCATGACCTGAACATCGCACAAGGGAATAGTTCGACCGAAAGTTGTTCAGATCTATCTAAACTATCTAACATTTCATTTGTCTTGTGGGCTCTGTACTGTTTTGAGATCGTTGTTCTGTTCTGAGATAGCAGGGGGGGGGGGGGAGATGCCTTCCCCCTCACAGTCTTAAGTATTTTTCAGGGTAAGTATTTATTACAATGGTGAACATTACATTTCATTTACCAACACAATACATTCAACAATTCATCAACTCTCCCACGTACGTATACGTGCCTGCCGTCTAAACATCGTGGATGGGCGGCGCCGGCAGACCTGATCCACCGCGTGCACCTGCGGGGCGCGTTCATCACCACGCGGGCAGCGTGGCCCCACTTCCGGCGGCAGAAGTACGGTCGCATCGTGCTCACCTCGTCCGCCGCCGGCCTGTTCGGCAACTTCGGCCAAGCCAACTACAGGTGAGTGCGACCAAGTAAGACGACGGCGCGCCAGCTCTCCGATAGGCCACAGCGGGGGAAGTGGCGAGAATTTGTCGAACATGCCTTACCGCTGTGGGTACGTCCTGGATTACGCGATGGGCCGCGCTGAAGTGCTTGTTTTTGCACCTTTGTCTCGCTTTTAGCCTTCGACTGTTCAAATATAGCTGATTTGACAACGACGGTTATTACCGATGAATGGCGATGGTCGTGATTATCGATATTCCTCTTTGCCGACTACTCCTATAAAGGGAGCGTCCCACCTTTGGGATCTATTTAAAAACATGCTCTAGTTACACCTCAGGGTTAGTTACATCCTCCAATAGCCCTGGGTAGTGTCACTGTAGCACTGCCAATACATGATAAGAATATTACTTTTGATTACTTCTTAGTCCAAATTACGCCGACAACGATTTGTAACAGCACTGGGCTTCTTCCCTGCAGTCGCGATCAACGTTGTCATAACAACGAACGTGCGCTTCTCTTCGGGCGCGAATAAAAGAACGCTTGTGGTGAGCCCAGCAGGCAAGGGTCAGTTACCGAGGAGCGCATTTATCGAAGTGTGAACCAGCTCGTCATTCTAGACCATGTGGTACTCCTTTCCCAAAGCTAAACTGCGTTTCGAAAAGAGCCACCGCAGTAAATGCCATATGGGGAGAAATTAAAGCCATCGTTTAACATTTTATTGAATTCGTTGGATATTAGCTTCATGTTTGTATATACTTCGTCTAAACAGTGTTCCATGCTTGCGTAGCATTTGTTACACGAAAATTTTGACCAATTAGCGTGTTGCGAACATTACAGAACACACATGTAAGGAAAACCAACACAAATTACGTGCATTACTTTCATAGTGGTGTTTAGGGAGTCCAATGAGGTTTTCCCACAGGAGTGGCTACTTCAATGAGAGATTCTGAGATATTCAGAAAGATTGCATGAAAGCTGGTATTCCTGATGACATCAAGGTTTAGCAATAAGCGAAAAGTGCAAAAAGGTTGCATTCTCCCTTTAATGTCCGTTCTAGCTGGTGTCTACGAGGCAGTTCCTCGTGTATTGGCATGGGTGCCCGCGAGCCGTGGTGGCCGCAGCTACGCTCGTCGGCCTCAGCGCCGCCTGTTGACCGCGCTGCTGAGACTCTTGCCCTCTCCACTTCCAGCGCCGCTAAGATGGGCCTGGTCGGTCTGGGCCAGACGTTGGCCGTCGAGGGCCAGAAGCACAACATCGTTACGAACGTGCTGGTGCCGGCGGCAGCCTCGCGCCTCACCGAGTCGGTGTTCCCGACCGAGTTCCAGCGGCTGCTGCGGCCGGCCCTGGTGGCGCCGGTGGTGGCGCTGCTCTGCCACGCGGACTGCCCGGCCAGCGGCGCCGTGGTGGAGGCGGCCGGCGGCGCCGTGGCCACCTACCGCTGGCAGCGCAGCCGCGGTCTGGCCGTCACGCCGGCCGCGCTCACGCCCGAGCTGGTGCGCGACCAGTGGCCGCTGGTGGAGGACCACGCGGCGCCGCTGCTGCCAGCCTCGCCCGCCGAGCAGATGGCGCTGCTCGGCCAGCTGCTGCAGGAGGCGGCCGACGAGGAGCGCCGCCGCCGCGAGGAGGCCGCCGCGCCGGCCGGCGTTGACGTGGCGCGTGCGCTGCGGACGCGTCTGCCGCCGGCGCGCTACCAGTACCAGCCGCGCGACGCCATCCTGTACGCACTGAGCATCGGCGTCTCCCTGTCCGAGCCGCACGGTCTGCGCTACCTGTACGAGGCGCACGACAGCTACGCCGTGCATCCCATGTTCCCGGCGCTGTTCGTCAACGCCGTGGACTTCACGCGGCTCGCTTCGCTGCCCGGCTTCCCGATGGACCTGTCTCAGGTGAGGCGGCCGCGCCCGGCGGTCGAGGCGCCGCTGGAACGGCCGGCTCGGGACGTGGTCACGTGTGCTGGAACAGTAAGCACTGCCGTTTCCTGTAGGTGCATGCTGAACGGTGATTTAGTCGCTGAAGGTTACACTCAGTAGCGGTTTTAACTTATTAGTTATTATTTCTTCGCAAATCACGGAGGTGTCTTGTTTACCTCTCGTAGAAGTGAACAGGGATGTGCATGGCCTCTAATGACATGTTTCTGTCACTTGTACCGCATTTTTCCAATCTCGTGGGACTCTTGATGAAAAGCTTTAAACCCACCCAATCCTAGCCCTAGCGGCTGTCCGTAATTTACGGTATGCATATTGCCCCTTTCACCCCTCGTCCCGGTGATCTCATGATAAGCGGAACGTCACAAAAGGTTGACGTCCGTTTGGTCCATTAATGGACTGAAGGTGCGAAACAAAAACGGATGTTTCGGCTGTCAGGACAGGAAGCGATCGGTTAGAATTTTGGGGGGGAAAATATTTTATCACTTTGTGGCAACCATACGTGAGCGTTGCTTTGCGCTGTCCAAAGTTTTCTTCGCTCGCTACGATTCGGTTGCGCTCCAGAAATCCGAGATTTTGTAATTTTACGCTCGTGTGCAAGGAGAAGATAACGTGACACCCCGAGTGCCTTAATAAGGACACATTTCAGGCTATGACTTCCACATGTTTCCAGCTTCTTCATGGAGAGCAGTACATGGAATTGAAGAAGCCGTTGCCGTCCTCCGCCATTCTGGACGTAGACTTCAAGATCTCGGACATTATCGACAAGGGCGACAAGGGCGCGTTGGTGCTGCTGGACGGTACGTGCGTCAGACGCATTCCATTCAGTGTATGCCTGTGCCTGACGTGCCGTCGGGCACCAACGCCAGCTGGCATGTAGGCCGAAGCCAGACGCCAGGGCGCTTCGCTCAGAACAGACGGTGCGACGGCCGTACGCAGGTGTGTGTGTGGCAGATGCCGATGTGGTCTGGTGTTGGGATCTGGTCCGCCTCGGCGCGCCTTCACGGACGTCCCCGTCTGCCTGCACCGCCAGTGCGGGCCTCGGACGAGGTCGGCGACGAGGTGGCCTACGTCCAGGTGACCATCTTCCTCCGCGGCGCCGGCGGCTTCGGCGGCCACGCCAGGTCGGAGCACACCACCGCGTGCGCCATCGTCCCGGACCGGGCGCCCGACGCCACGCTGCCGTACAGCACCTGCACGGACCAGGTGACACCGGGCGGACCGACTGGGTGGCAGCACCGTAGGGATCCGTCTCCACGCGCCAGGTGGTGGCCGGAGGTCACCTGCTGTAGGCGTGCAGGCTGACATTGCCCTGCTGCTAAACGCATTGGCGCTGGTAGAATGGTTTAGTTTCTTTGTTCATGCGGATTGTCGTATTCGCACCAGTCCTCCAGTCGCTCCGGCGTCGCCTGTCACAAGCGCCTCGGTGCCGGCTCCGCGGCTTTATCGGGGGTGAGTGGTGTTCCGTGGGACTCTGAGCCGGCGCTGCAATGACATTTAGCCCCGTCACGCTGACCCGGGCTGTGATGTGACCTGACCTGACCGTGGCGGTGGTGTGACCCCGCCGGCGTGCATTGCCTCAGGCAGCTCTGTACCGGCTCTGCGGCGACCGGAACCCGCTGCACATTGACCCGGACTTCGCAGCACTGGGCGGCCAGGAACGGCCGATTCTGCACGGCCTGTGCGGTCTGGGCGTCTCGGTGCACGCCATACTGGCCCGGTACGCGTCGGATCAGCCCGAGGCTCTCGTCAAGGTCAAGGTCAGTGCTGTTGTGACCAGCACGCCCGATGGTGAGCAGTTAGTGACAGCGTCGAGTGGTGAAGCGCCCTGTCCTTAGATTGTGGCCGGGCTCTGACACCGGACCGCGTGTGGCTGGGCTCTGGCACCGGACCGCGTATGCCGGGCTCTGGCACTGGCCGCGTATGGCTGGGCTTGGCACCGGACCGCGTATGGCTTGGGCTCTGGCACCGGGACCGCGTGTGGCCGGGCTCTGGCACCGGACCGCGTATGGCCTGGGCTCTGGCACCGGACCGCGTGTGGCCGGACTCTGGCACCGGCCGCGTGTGCCGGGCTTGGCACCGGACCGCGTTGGCCGGTGCTGGACTGGGCCACGGGTGCTGGGCTCTGGCGCCGAGCCGGTGTCGCTCTGGCACCGGCGCGGTGGCTGGTGGCGCGAGCGTAGGCTGGTCTGGCACGGACCGCGTGTGGCCGGGCTCTGCACCGATGCCGGGCCTGGCCCGGCCGCGTGTGGCCGGGCTCTGGCACTGGGCCGCGTGTGGCCGAGCTCTGGCACTGGGCCGCGTATGGCTCGGCTGTCGGACGTGCGAGTACCGAGAGTGGACGGTGTCTGTTGTGTTGATGCCGTTGGCTTGACGCCGGCCCGTTACTGGCGGCAGGCGCGCTTCGCCGTCCTGTGTTGCCAGGCCAGACCCTGCTGGTGGACACGTGGCGCGAGCCGGGCGCCGACCGGATTGTCTTCCAGACGCGCGTCAAGGAGACGGGCCGGGTGGCCTTGTCGGGTGAGTGTGCCGCGCGCCGCCGGCCGCGCTGGATTCCGCCACGCTTGTGTCGCTCTTCCTCGTGCGATGGTCGGCTCGACCGCTGAAATGTTATGACAGTGGAATGTTGACAAAATGGCCGTGTCAGGTGACGCACACGCCGCCATATGCGGCCTTGTCCTCAGGGGTAGGCTGGATGAACAGAAAACCATGTACTCAATGCTATGACGAGCCATTCACATTCTTATCGGTGCCGGGTATTGTTTGTTCGTCGTCGCCGTCGGGACGAGATAACGACGAAACTTAAACGGAGCGTAGTGTGGAGTCCCAAGTGCCTTTTTTAAGTCTTACTAGACCGATAAGATAGGCGTTTTGCTCTTGAAGGATATGTGTTGCCGTGCAAACGATAATGGAAGGCAAAACCGCGCCATTTTATGGCACAAATATTTGACAAAGAAGAATGCCAGTACATTGGGAGGATTTTATTGTTTAAAATTAAAACATTGGGAAGAACCATTGCATGAAAATGTGATGGGCCCCACGCTTTACACTGTGTTCCTCCACAATGCATTTAGCATTGAGCCGGAGGTATGTTTGAAGGGGCGGCTTAACATTGGGGGAGGCCGTGGCCATCTCACAGAGACACAACGCTTCATACATGGTAGCGTTAGGTTGTAGAACGAAGTAACGATTCCTTCGCCATCCTAGATACGAACCCTGCCACAATGGGCACGCCGTCTGTCATGGCCACGACTAGTCGATGTCGTGACAGGTCGTCCAGGCCAGGGACGGCGTACTGCATCGCTGCCGTCACCAGGCCGGTCCCTGGGTCGTGGCCGTGTGTTGACGCCGGCCGGCACGCCGCCGCAGGGGGTTACGTGGAGCTGCGCGCCACGGAGCCTGCCGCTGGAGCCGCCGGAGCCGCCGCGGCGCCGGCCGGCCCGCTGGCCAGCGACGCGGTGTTCAGCAGCCTGCAGCAGCTGGTGTCGCAGCGACCCGGCCTGGCCGACTCGGTGCGCGGCTTGGTCCAGTTCAACGTCACGCAGCGCGGCCGGCCGGCCGCCGGCTGGGGTCAGTACGCTGACCGTTCGCCGGCTTGCCGCACTCGAACGTAACAGCATGACTGGTGGTGCTGGCACAGAGCGTGCCAACTCTTCAAACGCGTTTTTTTATGGAAACAGTGCATTGGAGATATTTTGCGCAAGTAGAACCGTAAACGCTGTTTATGTGTGAACAAGGCTTCCCGCATTGTGACTGACTGCACGAATTGAAGGATTCGACTTGCGTTTGCGTAAAACTACTTATTTTCCGAGGTCCATTTTCCGAGGTCCGTAGCCCGTTTGGCACCGGCCTGTCTTTGACTGTCGCTGGACCTGACAGCTGTGACCGGCCGGCTCGGTCTGTACATTGACGTGTCTGTGCGGACAGTGCTGGACCTGACCTCAGCGCCGGGCCGGGTTAGCCGCGGCACGGCCGCCGCTCCGGTCGTGACCGTGACCGCTGACGACGCCCACCTGGTGGAGCTGTTTTCCGGACGACTGGAGCCCTCCACTGCCCGAGCCCAGGGCAAGCTCAAGGTTGCCGGCAACCCGGCCCTGCTTGGAGCGTTGAGGGGTCTGTTCGGAACCGGCTCACGGGTGTAGCAGCCGCTGCTTTCCACCGGTCACGTGAAGCAACCCAGGCTGGCTGCGGTTGGTCACATGGCGCCGGCCAGCGAACGACCCGGCCGTGAGGTTCGATACAGTGTGGGACTGTCATCAAATGCCGGAGTATGTTATGCAGGAAGAGACGTTTATCCGGTTGATTGTTGGAGCACGCGTATGCTAGGGATTCTAGTGGTCGCCGGTCACTTCTGGTTGTCTTGTTATCATGAGCGGCAATATTTGATTGGTATCGCAGTGTTGTATGTCGGTGGCTTCCCCGCAAGTACCTGCACAGAACCTGATGACAGGCCGGTGCCCCTGTTCAGTAGTCACTGCTGAACAGGGTATCCACCAATGCTTGCGTGCACTACCGAGATCATTTGCCGCCATATTGTAAACGACGTGGAATGCGACGTGGGAGGGTATGCGTATGGGATACAGCTCGTGAAATATATATCTGGTGAACTCAGGAGGCGTAATTGGCGCTGGTAGTTGGTCTCAGAGAATGGGAACAATTCTTCCCAATCGGGAAAGTGTTCCAAACTAAGGGTGTTCCGTGGGGGGGGGGGGGGGGTGGAGGGTCTGCGGTGAGTGACGTGCGCGGCTGCCAGGCCGCCGCTGGATGTTGTGCGCCGCCGTCTGCCGTTGTCGCGCCTCCCCCAAAAGAGCGAATTTATAATGAGGAGCCCATTGGTCAGCATGCGAGCCAGATGATGTTAGCGCACGACTCGGCACGTTGCGGCTCCGGTACAACCGGCATCAGCGCACACTCATGTGACCCACAGGGCTAGGATGCAGTTGGTGACCAGCGCATTGGCTGGATGGTGGGTCCGGTCAGGCACCACGAACGGCATTCTTCCCGCCCATTGTTGTGCGCCCATAGCCACGGTACCCCACCTCCACCCTTTAGCTTACGATATTTAAACGGGGCAAAAACGGAACCGCATGCATGATGATACGTCCAACTGGTAGGGGTTCCACGCATTGACGAATTATATTGGCAACAGCCAGCTGGATAATAACCCTGGGACGCCCACCCAGCTTTAACTAATCCACTTAGACTCCACTCGGCGCCCCACCACGCTCACTCCAAGCATCCACATACGCTAGCGCCCACGTCATCCCATTCATCATTGGGTCGCACACGGGTGGACCCCCCCCCCCCCCCTTTATTTCCTGCGCCTTGGCATTATAATTGGCTCGTCGAGTTAAGCGAAATTCATTTATCACATTTCGAACTTACCATAAATCCACCTTCAAGCCCTGTTTAAAGGGTACCACGCTAACTTGCCAGAGTGGTACCGGCGCATCTGCTGGGCCGACATCTGGTGTCCGAGGCTGGACGGCGACTCGTTCCCTCGCCTGACCTCCAGGGCGACGGCTCCCTGTTTGGACCTCCCCGCGTTCCGTCTACGATGGGCGGCCCACCATTTACTCGGCCACGGCCACTGCTCGCAGCCTTCCGCTGCCGCGCACGTGCCTTAGGCAGCGCCCCGTCCAGCACGGAGGCGTGGCCACCGGCACTTCTGCGCCCTCGCCTCCCGCCTGCTGGAGCAGGCTCTGCAAGGCACCGCCCCACGGCGCGTGCCTCAGGGGTCTGAAGGTAGACAGCGCGCCCTATGGGACGGTGGAGGCCCTCGGCAGACGACGAGAGCCCAGCGCAACCTGCGTCAGCGATCAGTAACGAATGGGGAGAAGGAAGCGTGTTCGTGAGAGGCCGAGCATGCGCGCTGGATGGACCCCGTGAGGGTCCGGCCACCTCGGGCTATCTGGAAAAATTCAGGGAACAAGATAAGGCGAGCCATCCAACTAGCCCACATCCTATCGCTACAGCCCCCGGAGACCTCCAGGGACGTTACGACGCGGCCCGTACGCCACGCCTGGCCGCGACGACGGCCAGGCGAGGGACCAGACAAGCCGCTGCGCCTCCACATGGCCACCTCCAACGGCAGACTCCAGACAGCTACAGTGCGGGCCAACGAGCGGGCCGTCACGCCCAAGCGTGCGTCCACGGCCCCGGACACAGCGCCGCCCAACGCCGGGCCGAGTGTCCTCTCGCCGCCCGGGCCAACCTCGTCCAGCCTCGCTCCCTCGCTAAACCACCGCGATGCAAACCGTCATCTGTATTTACACACAAGGAAAACGCGGAAAAACCGCTCACACACAGCGGTACACCAGTCCTTCGCTTCACGCGGACTCAGCGCCGGGCCGCGTGGCACCTCACACACACACACACACCCATCCCCTCCCCATTTCCCAGTTCCACGGGAGGGATCCGATAAACGTGGCTTGCGCCGCCCGGTGGGGAAAGGGTGAAAGGACGTGCTCGGAGTGCCAGCCGTCAATGGCCCGGTGCGATGGGAGACAACCGCCTGGGCACTCACATCGTGTGCGCTGTCACCGGTGACCGTCGTCCGTCGTGTCGAATGTCGCAGCCGGGTGCTGTGAGCTGGGGCCTCGGAGGGTCGGCCTCGGGATGCAGATGTAGGCGTCGGGCGCACTCCCTGACACACTTGACTCCGGAGCCTCTTACACGATGTTTTACCGATTTTCGACATCTCTTAACTGGGTCGGCCTGCCTTCGTCTCCTCGCGTGATCCAATGGGTTTGCCGCCTCGCCCCCTACGGTCAATGTGTCGCCGAGCCGGTCTGCGCCGCTTCCAGGGTCAGGCCCCCAACGCGCCCCTTAGCCAGACCTCGGGCGTGGCGTCGTCGGCGGCGGTGCAAGGCCCACCCGCCCTCGCCTCGGGCGGGCCCTGCGCGTCCCCCTCTGGCCCAGTTCCCACGGGACGTGGCTCTTCTGATGGCATCTGGGGCGAAGACGGCGGCGGCGCGGCGGGGATCACTGGGGCGAAGCAGCAGCATCCTCATAACATGTTATTTGCACATCCCTGTGCGCATGTTGTGCCGCCGGCCACCCGGCTCTCGCCTCCATTTCTCTTGGCGCGATGAACGATTTTGGCTGGCGGGGCCGCCGTCCTGGCCGTTCCGGGTGGAGCAACTGGCGCTGTTTTGACGATGTGAGCTGATCGGCTGAAGCGTCGAGCCGGGCCACCCTCATCTCCCGGCCTGATGGACGTGTTTGGTCGTGGCGGGAGGCTCTGGACCACGGCCGGCTGGCTTGCTTTCCCACGCTCTGCGCGCGAAGCCCCACCGGTCCCGGACGGGTGGCGCGCGAGATGACGAAGCCAGAAAATGTACGCCTACAGTTCCAATAACGAACACCCGCCATGCTACATTTGCTCAAAATCCTTCGTGGTAAAGGCCAGCCTTTTATACCGCATTTTGCAGCTTGTGTCGGATCAGTGAAGAGCACTCCTGCCTCTCACACCGGTGAGAACGGTCGGTGTGCTTCCGTTCCAAGGTTGCGCACTAATTGATGCATTGGGTAACAGTTTCTCATATTGTCAACTGGAGCGTGGCTTGCGGGGTCCTATAGTGGACGTGATGGTGCGCATAGGTGATCTTTGCCGCGACTGGACCGCAACATATATCTTCGTTACTGTACAAGTCGACGTTCGAACGGCTGAAACAGACGCGATTTGAAACAGAGCACGGTGTCAGGCGTAGCACATATATCGCCATGAACCATACCGGAAAGCTATGACGGGCGGGATTGGTAGTCTCAGGTCGTGTTCTAACACATTTACCGAAATTAATGGTGGGAGCTGCTTATGGTATACTTGAGTTTGGTATCAGTGAAAGATCCACGGAAGATCAATAGTGCACCAAGCTTGTAATTGAGCAAAGTGAATCGCCGGTTGATTGGCTTCTTACGACATCATTTGTTCGTTAAACCGCTGACGTCAACGCAAGGATGCTGGCCGACGGTGCGCGTTGACACGAAAAGCATGGTGGCGAGAAATCAGTGGTGCGATGGGGATACCAGACCCGATGCGATACGACCAGTGCCTGACACCGTCAGACGGTTTCAGCATACCAAATAAAGTACGCATTAATGCAAAAGTGAGTGATGTCTATTTATTGGCGCCTTCCATATTGATGCGGGAGGCATTAGTGAGATTTTACCAAACTAAGTTGGAATGCGGAATGTATAATATGGACATGCAGATAAAAGCATGTGGGAAATGATGAGTTGCAATGACATTGCAATCAGGATCATTTCGTTGAATTATGTCACGTAATGTGCCGAGTGTTCAGGGCGGGGAAAATGAGGATAGAACGTTCGGTGATTGGTCAGGGGCGGGTTGAGGTCGGGGTTTCTCAGCTCGGGAAAGGAGCATTTTTTCGTGGGTCAGGCCGGAGGGGCGAGTTGGAACTAGCGCAGAGTATGTATTTATTTTGTTTTTAACACGAGATGCATTCTGCTTCATGATTTTCATAATTCACAACAGAATGGTTTTTTTGAAAAGTGGAGGTGGCTTGTGCTTATCTAAAGACTTTCACGGGTGCATTTAAGTCTCCCATTTTAGGAATTCAATCCATTCCAGGCCGTTTTAGAGCAATGGATCTTACACATGCTCTGTTAGTGTTAGCCTAATAGTAGTGGCCTAGCAACACGATTAGTACGCTGTTTGGTCAGCTGACACATCCTTGAGAATATTTAGTACGAATTTTTACTAAGAGGGGAAGCGTGTTTGGTACCGATTTATATTCAAAGTGGCGGGGTTATGACGTATAGATACTAAGCAGAATAGCCCGGTAACCCAGTGCTGACCGGAGGAACTGAGGATGCGTGGAGGTGGGCGGCGTGAATTTGTTTTCTTTCGATGGGAGTAGAGAACCTTCCCCATTTCGGTATCCCAGTTCCCATTTAAATGCGACTCGCTCCTAGCGCGCGGCAAGGTCGGTCGGTTGGTGTCAGTGGAGAGCATGGTGGAGGCGGTTAGGAAATGTGCCTGGAGAAAGTCGCGCGTAAATTACAGAAGTGTTATCTACCGGCTGGGTATGATATGATACATCCTGGACTACATAGCATTGGGAAAGATATTGTCATCTGGGTAGTGCAAGGAATGGGATGCCAGCCTTGAGATGTGGTTAGCATCAGACTTGGGTTTGACTCGAATATCTTGAACCAGCTCTGGACTGGCTCACAGATTGTGGAATCTGACTCAGTTCGTGACTCAGCTGTTCCATTTTTCATTTGACTAACTTCAGACTATATTTACATTGGAGCACTCCACCCATGACTTGTGCAGGTTGCAAAATCAAATGTCAAGCCCTGGCTCATTTATATGTATATGTATGCATTATACACACACACACACACACACACACACACACATATATATATATATATATATATATATATATATATATATATATATATATATATATATATATGTATATATATACATATATAAATCACTCTCCTCTCTCTCCCTCTCTCTCTCTCTCTCTCTCTCTCTCTCTCTCTCTCTCTCTCTCTCTCTCTCTCTCTCTCTCTCTCTCTCTCTCTCTCTCTCTCTCTCTCTTCTCTCTCTCTCTCTCTCTCTCTCTCTCTTGGAA